GTGGTTCTCAGTGCTCCTCCTGTGGAGCTCTCTTTCATCCAGGCACGGGCGGACGACGTTGGACGACTTCAGGGGCCTCAAACCATCCGAAGACAAGTTTGCGAAATCCCCGTTGGTTACTGTGATAGGGGTTCCCAGTTTAGTGTGGGGATTACCCCTGCTTTTCTCCGCTATGTATGAAGATGTATGAAGTATATTTGTTAGTTAAACGGTGTTTGCTGTGATTTTCCCGGGCATTGCTTAGCAACCCAGCGCATCAACGGCAATCGCACCAGGAGAACTCGGGAGTGGTTGCTGTTGCAGACATCTCGAATCTGCCAGAACCAGTGACCTTTCGATGCTTGGTGGATTCAGTGGCGACAGGCTGTAGCTGTGGAAACTTGTCATAAGGTTTCTAGTACTTGTACAGTAGTTACGCGCTTATTGTCCAAAGTCCAAGCTCGATTGGCTGATGTGAGTCTGCTTCAGATATGTAGTGCCCTTAGGGGTCTGATGTTTTGCCTGTAAGGACTTCAGGATGCATCACCAGTTGAGGGAGACACATGCGCCTTCTTCGATTTGGCCTGGGCCTTGGCGCTTGCATTGGAGATGGCTTGGGCAATGGACTATAAGGCCATGCGGCAGTTTGACCGCAGTTGCTTGAAGGTGGTTGCGCAAGGTGATCTAAGAATGTTTCGCTGTTTTGAATCGTTTGGGGAGCCTAAGATGCCTGAGTATGTACTGTAAGCCCTGCATGTTTGAGTCTAGTTGAGGCCTGAACCCCTACCACTAAATAGGAGGATGCGGTCCCTGTCCCCATGCCTCAACCATGACGACCCTAGAGATGTCCTTTCTAATCTTGATTCATTGATGACACCAAAGGGTCCCGTGTCCCACCCTGCATCCTGTGGTCCCCATGTCCCGGCGTCAAGCACCCTAAAGATGTGAGTTGAAGCCCACATCCCACATCCCATCCCAAAGCCCCTGGTACTGGTCTCAGAACCGTAAGTAAAGGCTCCCATGTCCAACCCTAAAACCATCTAAAACCCCTGGTCCGCTTGTCCCGGGCCCCATAGCCCTAAAAGTACAACCTACAGGTGTAGACCAAAATATACTTGTAAACCATATATGTACGAAATATCCAATATATTCTAAGATGATCTGGATACTGTTCTCACAGGCTGTACTATAAAAGTCACACCCAAGAGATTGTTTTGCATCGGCATTTGTGACCTGGTTTGCGCGTCCAAAAACAGGTGGTATTTATTATAGGTCCATGGCTTTCGACCGTTTCCACAGTTCCGGCTGTTTTCGTCCTCCACCTTCTGCGCTATTCTGCATTATCCTCATCCATTCCTGCTTTGTCTACTTTGTCTTTGTCCATCCATTTGATCCATCCAGCTCTCGAGGATAAGAACAGCTGGTCTATGGATGGATTTGTTACATTCGCAGGGGAAGCCACTTTGCGCGGAGGCCTATTTCTAGCCGAGCATTCAAGCTGCTGAATTCAGTTATTGTGCCATGATGTTTAGGTAGAAAAATGGGAGGAATGTGTGAAATGATGTGTGCCTCAGATCATTTAAATCTGGAGCCCACACTGGAGCCCACAGATATTCGCAAGATTTCCGTAAGTACGTCAGTTTATTGCAGCCAAGGCCTGGTGGCACATGGTGCGCAACGACGCATTTATCTTTGTTCTCCATGGTGAGACTCTGAAAAAGCTGAAAACTTGAGAAGGGGTTTTCCAGTGCTTGGGTAGAATCGGTCTGGATAAAGGATAAAGGATATAAAGGTTTGTGCTCCAAAAAACATGCCAACAACATTGCCAGACAGATTTGTTCCATGTGAAAGTGCCCTTTGAAACCGATAGGTTCAGACTGTTCCCTTTGAGATGACCATTCAGCCGAAGGTGCCGAAGCATTCCTGAACCACTTGACATGACTTTGGCATGGCGCAAGTTCTCAACCTTTGCACAGGTTTATGCAGTGCAATGTCATGGGGAGACGTATGTTTGGAATCATTAAGTTAAAGTTGGGTTCGTCAGCTACTGGCTGTTGAGTTTTGTTCTCTGATTTTGTCCAACCCGCATCCTTTCATGTCAATTCGGCTTCTCTTTTGAAGCTTGAAGACAGTCTGTGTGTATTGCTGGAAGGTAAGGTTTGTTCGGCTTAACTTCTTGGTTTCTTGGCGATGAATCAAACTAGTTACTTCCATGACATCTATTCCGGCGAGGACTTGTACGAACTACAAAGGCAAATATAGCGGCCTATGTTGCTGGTATTTCTTTTGTTGATGATTTGGGTGGTTAATCAAGGCCTTGGGTGTCAACTTCTTATGCGAGTGCTTTCCACAAACATGTTCAATGTATTCAACAATGTAGGAACTGAGGGCCCTCAGCTGAAAGCATGCATGCAGAACGTTGTGGAATACAGCATCTTGGGATTTCAGAATCAGGGGCCAGCATCGTCTTATTGTTTTGTTGTTGCAGACTTCATGGCAGGACTATGTTGTCGAGAACGAGAACTACATTGTGGCTGTGTGGCTCTTGTTTCTCGCTCAGATTTGGTGTTAGGACTTCGCACTGGCATGTGCTGGCATTTCCAAATGGCTTTGCTTGACGTTCGAATCTAGGGGCGAAGACGCGATGGGAACAATCGTTGGGCCAAGCTGCAAACATTGTATCATCTGGTATCGCAACATATCGCAGCATCATGCAACTGGACCTCCACGAGTCTTCGCCGAACTTCGCAATCCAGGGCTCTTCTGACTTGTGCTGTTTGCAGCATGGCTGTGGCCTAAGAATGCGTTTTCGGCTTGCCACTTTTCTTGGAATGATAGGAGGTTACGCGGTTACGCTAATGAATTTCATGTTTGCAACTGTTCAGTTCTTTGCAAGCACCAATCATGTTGCCAAAGTCGTTTGAATGCTTTTTGCCAAAGTGATACGGAAGGCTCACGCCATGATGTTTCCATGGTTGGTCATTTGTGCTGTTTGCGGGAATCTGTGCGGCCATGCCCAGTTCGGCACTTGGCTGTTCCTACAAGTACGTCCAGCTTCACGTGGAAGTACAAGGATCAAGGAGACGAATTCGAAACAAGTTTGGGTGCCATGAGGTTCTGCATTAAAGCATAATGTTTGTCTTTGATTTAACAATAGGGGCCCCCCCCCCCTCTCTGACCCTAATTAAATAGACTTAAAGCCACCATAAAACTTGTTTGTAAGTAAAGGTTTTAAATTACCACAATTGAAAACGAATACATAAAATTCAATTTCAAAAAAAAAAGGAATCCAGCAATTGTTTTAGTATTGATCTAGTATTCATCTCATGGATTTAGTATTGATTTAGTATTCATGTCATGGATTTAGTATTGATTTAGTATTCATGTCATGGATTTAGTATTGATCTCGTATTCATGTCATGGATTTAGTATTGATTTAGTATTCATGTCATGGATCTGGGCAAATCTGGGTTTAGGGCCAAAAACAATTAGCTTTATTCAGGGTCAAACTCTAATTAGTGCCAAGGCACCTCATGGGGGATACCCTTGACGAGTTGATTTGGGATTGATTTTGGATAATTTTGAATAAAGGTTTTGAATAGAAAAGAGCAACCATTATGTTTGAAAATTTGAAGTTATCAAGGTAAGATCTAATGAGCTGGCAATATGAATTAGTACATGAAAGCCACCTCAAATAAAGCATGGAAAAAAAAATCAGCCCCATCTGGGCAAATCTTTTAGGGCCAAAAAAAATTAGCTTTATTTAGGGGGCATTTATTATTTATTTTGGGAAAAATTTAGCTTTATTCAGGGGGCATTTACAAATCAGAACTAAACATTATTAAAGTTATTAAAGCTCATTCCTTTAGGATCAAATCGGGTCAGGCAGGATCAAACATGAGAGGTCGATTCACAATGATTCACATATGTAGGTAGAAATCGCAGTTGAGCAACAGCCAAGATGCTCACAAGAGTATCAATCAACTACTGTATCAACAACAATCGCAAGCACTCAAAAGCCAACATATTTTTTACAATCAACAGCAACAAGAATAACAACAACAACAACAACAACAACAACAACAACAACACCAACACCAACACCAACACCACAGCCACCACCAGCAGCAGCAACAGCAACAGCAACAACAACAACAACAGCAACAGCAACTGCAGCAACTGAAGCAACTGAAGCAACTGAAGCAGCAACAGCAACAACTGCAGCAACTGCAGCACCAGCAGCAGCAACAACAACTGCAGCAACTGCAGCAGCAACTGCGGCAACTGCAGCGACTGCAGCAACTGCAACAGCAACGACTGCAGCAACTGCTGCATCAACAACAGCAACAACTATCAACAACTGCAGCAACTGCAACAACTGCACCAGCAACAGCAACAACTGCAACAACTGCAACAGCTGCAACAACTGCAGCAAATGCAAGTGGAACAGCAACTGCTGCAACTGCAAGTGCAACAGCAAAGGCAGCAACAGAAACTGCAACAGCAACTGCAACTGCAACTACAACAACTGCAGCATTTGCAACAGCCACTGCAACAGCAACGGCAAACGCAACAGCAACTGCGACAGCAACTGCAACAGCAACTGTAGCAACTGCAACTGCAAGTGCAACTGCAGCCGCAGCATCGGCAGCAACTGCAGCAACTGCAAGTGCAACTGCAAGTGCAAGAGCAACAACTGCAGCAACAGCAACTGCAACAGCCACTGCAAGTGCAGCAGCAACAACTACACCAACTGTAGCAACTGCAGCAACTGCAGCAACTGCAAGTGCAACAGCAACTGCAACAGCAACTGCAACAGCAACTGCGACAGCAACTGCGACAGCAACTGCATCAGCAACAACTGCAACAACTGCAGCAACTGCAACAGCAACTGCAAGTGCAACTGCAGCAACTGCAAGTGCAACAACAACTGCAGCAACTGCAAGTGCAACAGCAACAACTGCAGCAACTGCAATTGCAACTGCAACAGCAACAACTGCAACAACTGCAGCAACTGCAACAGCAACTGCAAGTGCAACTGCAAGTGCAACTGCAACAGCAGCGGCAACAGCAACTGCAACAACTGCAGCGACCGCAGCAACTGCAGCAACTGCACCAGCAACAGCAACAGCAACAACTGCAACAACTGCAACAGCTGCAACAACTGCAGCAACTGCAAGTGGAACAGCAACTGCTGCAACTGCAAGTGCAACAGCAAAGGCAGCAACAGAAACTGCAACAGCAACTGCAACTACAACAACTGCAGCATTTGCAACAGCCACTGCAACAGCAACGGCAAATGCAACAGCAACTGCAACAGCGACAGCAACTGCAACAGCAACTGTAGCAACTGCAACTGCAACTGCAACAGCCACTGCAAGTGCAGCAGCAACTACTACACCAACTGTAGCAACTGCAGCAACTGCAGCAACTGCAAGTGCAACAGCAACTGCAACAGCAACTGCAACTGCAACAGCAACTGCAACAGCAACTGCGACAGCAACTGCGACAGCAACTGCATCAGCAACAACTGCAACAACTGCAGCAACTGCAACAACTGCAACAACTGCAGCAACTGCAAGTGCAACAACAACTGCAGCAACTGCAAGTGCAACAGCAACAATTGCAGCAACTGCAATTGCAACTGCAACAGCAACAACTGCAACAACTGCAGCAACTGCAACTGCAAGTGCAACTGCAAGTGCAACTGCAACAGCAGCGGCAACAGCAACTGCAACAACTGCAGCAACTGCAGCAACTGCAACAAAAAACAATGCAGGTCAAGGTACGGCTGTCGTCGTCAAAGACCGTTTGCTTGAGGACAAGAGAGGAACATCGCTTGCGGGATGCCCAAGCACTTCCCTGCGGTGTTGTTTGCAAACAGGCAATTGCAGTGTGGAAGCGTGCCAACGCCGTGGGGCCTTGGCGGCTTTGAGCCCAAGAATTACTTAGCAATCTGGGCGCATATGTGTTTTCCATTGTTTTGCTGTTCTTTGGGACGTTCGGAGCTTCACTACCTTCCTATAACCAAGCTTGGCACCCGATTCATTTCCGAAACCGCGGCATATCGCTGAGGTGGTTCAGTTCACTCGCAGTGATATTGTGGCCGCCCGGCGACCGGCATGAAGGGCTGGCGGTAGCCCTTCACTTCTGCATTTTTTACAGTAGTTTCATGTGATGTCATTTATTTGGCTTCAAGTACCCTTAAGTCTTCAGTGTGGCCACAGTTCCCTGTGGTTTTTGACTTAGGTAGATAAGGCCACATCAGAGCCAAAGGCGCGCAGCAAGCTCTTGGATGAGAACGTGAGATGTTTTGGGCAGGGATTGATTAGTAAGCTTTTCAATGCCTTTCATTTGATGTATGTAGTACTGTATTTGGAAGCGATAGAGCGTAATAAAGCGCAGTCAGGGCCTGTGGAGACGTTGTGAGATGTCCTTTTTCATTTGTTTTCAAGATTGGGTTTTGCATCCACAACCCCTTTTGAATCTTGAATGCAGCGGAAGTTTTGGGTCTTGCAACTTGTCGCAGCCCTGGCTACGCGCCACCAGTGAGAAGACGAAGGCGCTGAAGTGCCGTGAAGTGCCAAGCAGCGACAGAAGCCACAGTGAAAGAATGTAACATCCATGATGAGTTTTACAGTACATATGTCATTATATATATATATACACACACACATTTATCTCTGTTTTACGATCCTCTGATCTTTTCTGCGTTCAATGCATTTTCTGGTATATAGGGCATAAAATGTTCCACTGGCAAGTCATTTCTCATATCTCCGCAACGCCCACATATCATCACATGTTGCTGTTTGGGCGGTCAATACAGGGACTTCTACCGTTCGATGCATGAGCTGTTTATGTGAGGGAGTCGGCGGCGCGAGGTGCTGATGACATGGGAAGTGCAACCCGTTCCTGGCCTCAATCGATGTGATGGGCTCTCGCTGAAGAGGTTTCAGAAGCAGAACCTGATCCGTTTTGATGAATTATGATGAATTCAATGAGATGTCCTGTTGATGTTTCTGTTGCTGCGTCTGTCGGTGGTTGATGCGATTGTCGCGCTGGCGGCTGTCGTTGCAATTGTCGAAGCTGACCTCATTGTCATTGGTGCGTGGCTAGCATCAGAAAGACTGGGCATGACTGGGCCGAGCAGCCGAGGAAGGCTTTCTGGGGATACAATGGCCCTTTTTATGGCATCAGTAACAGCATATTATGCCAGCATCAGATGGCATTAGGTTCGTCAGCTGGGTGGATACCCAGCACCAAGTTCCTGTAGTGTAGTAGAACCATTTCTGCTTCCTTGTTAGTATTGCTGTGCAACGACAACTACTGCAGCAGCCTTCTCAGCACCGCTACTTCATTCATTGCGGTTGCGACCCTTCTACTGCACCTTCTGCTTCTACTAACTCTGCCTCTGATTCCATTAAGGTTCTTACAGTAGCAGTTCAACCATGATGGTTGCAGCGCAGTGGAAGCTATTGCAGGTCTTAGGAGCATGTAGTACTTCAACCTGCTTCAAACATAATCAAACTACGAAGCCATTGCAGGTCTTAGGTTGTTGCTGGTTCCAGAGTGATTGTTTTCCGCACTATGGACCCAACGCGTTGGCCCAGGCCGATGTCATGCCGATTCTTGGCTGTGAACAAGCTTGGGCGAAGAGCTGGGTTCGCTTCTGACTTGACAACTTCATAGAGCATTGTGCTGAATAGAGGTGCGTCACAGAGCCGTAAAACATCTTGATGATTGTCTTATCCACTCCTTATTGATATAAGTATCAGTATCCCAACAAGACAACTTCGCATCGCAACATGAGGATCATGAGGTATACGGTATAAGAATGTCATATAAGGCAATCTTACGTTGCCATGCTGAGGAACCTAGACAATTTGGAGGGCCCTGCTGGATGGGTGGCGATGGACTGCCGACGTGAGGGTCAACAGTTTTTGACTCCGTGTTTTGCCAACTCCATTCTCATCACAGATTTATTAATAAGAGCCACAAGCTAGAAAATACACTGGCGTGCATCCAAAATATTTTTCACTCAATCATGAATCCACACACTATAGACTATATTGGCGCAATGTTCACTTCGTTCAATCTGCACAGGAAATGTTTCTTGGTGTCAAATATCATCATCCTCAAGCAACCTTTCAGCAACAGCTGAAAGAGGAATAGGCTTTGCAACAGGGGCGACGTGCCAGTTTGATACAAATGGAAACCTTCAGGCACTGACCCATATCCTAGCAGTTGCTTTGCGATTTCTGAAAACATGGTGATTTGCATACACATTGATATACAATGGCATCGTGTCTAGAGTTTCAGAGCCATGTGTTTCTTTTACAGGCGCTGAGAAATACGATAGTTTCCAGAACTTCTATAGAGTTCTTTTGTTGCTTCCTGTGCAGCCTGCTTCAAGCCCAACAGGACATTCACAGCCCCCGCATTGTCGAGAAGTCAAAAAGTCTGAAGGACCTGAACGCATGAGGTCGTTTCGATTCATGCCAGGCATCAATTTCCTGGACATGGGCGAGTCTCCCTGCTGTCTCTGCCGCTAATCCTTTTATTTCCCGAGAGCGTCTGAGCGAAGGGTTCTTCTAAAAGTGGAGGTTTGCTATACATCTTCTCATCTTCACATCTTCTCATCTTCACATCTTCTCATCTTCACATCTCTCTCTCTCTCTCTCTCTCTCTCTCTTGCCCTCTGTCACCGTCTCTCTCCTTCTTTTTCTTTTCTCTCTTAAGGCCGCAAGCATTGCCGACGAAAACCACAATATGGCAACCCTTTCGCACGAAATGAGGTTCGAGCGTCAAAAACTGGTGTGTTTTTGCGATTCAACATCCTCGGCGGCAACCCTTTCGCACGAAACGAGGTTCGAGTGTCAAAAACTGGGGTTTTTGGCGACTTTGGTTGGTCCGGCGGCAACCCTTTCGCACGAAATGATGTGTGAGTGTCAAAAACTGGTCTGTTTTTGCGATTTAACATCCTCGGCGGCAACCCTTTCGCACGAAACGAGGTTCGAGTGTCAAAAACTGAGGGTTTTTCGCGACTTTGGTTGGTCCGGCGGCAACCCTTTCGCACGAAATGATGTTTGAGTCAGAGTGTCAAAACCTGATGTTGTTTGCGGCTTTGGTTTGTCCGGCGGCAACTTTTTCGCACGAAATGATGTTTGAGTGTCAAAAATTGAGGATAATTGAGGTTTTATTGTGAGTTTGGTTGGTCCGGTGGCAACTCTTCTGCACAACATGATGTTTGGGTGTCCGAAACTGATGGGTTTTTGCGAGTATGAGTAAAGGGCCTGCGTGCACAAGTGCTTGTGGGTAAAAGTGTTTGTGTGTAAAAAAGTTTGTGTGTAAAAGCGTTTGCGTGTAAATGTGTTTGTAGTTGCGTTGGTGTGTGAAAGCGTTTGTGTGTAGAGGCGTTTCTGTGTAAAAGCGTTTGTGTGTAAACATTATTGATATTATTGTGTGATATTGTGTGTAAAAGTGATTGTGTGTAAAAGTGTTTGTGTGTAAAAGGGTTGTGTGTAAAAGTGTCTGTGTGCAAAACGTCTGCGTTTAAGGGTGTTTGTGTGTAAAAGGATCTGTGTGTCAAAGCGTCTGTGTGTAAAAGCGTTTGTGTGCAAAAGTGTTTGCGTGTAAATGTGGTTGTATGTAAAAATGTCCGTCTCAATTCTTCTTCCTGCGTCTCCTTCGTTTCATCTTCCTTTTACCCCTTCGATTTATTCATACGTACCTACTCGTACTTTTCACAACATGTCTGCACCATGTCCCTTCATTTAGGCAATATCCTATATTTTATTATATTTATGTTTCATGCTGTAAGATCTTCTTACTTACACCTCTCACATCCGCTCACTATGCTCCTCTACGCTCTTGGGCCATCCGTCATCTAGTTTTTCTGTTGTTCTGAGAGCTGGCGGCGACACGGACACTGCCATTTCAAGTGGAGCGGCAGCCGCCCCATGTCAGCGTGTCAGCTGTGCAGGACGGGCCATCAGTGCCAAAAGAGTTGAAGAAAGCTAAGGAGCCCGCCCAGCAGATTCATCGGTGCCACCTTGTTAATATGGATGAGTATGGATCAATAAGGATTAAATCAGACTACTTACAGTCGCATTTTGAAAGATATTAACTATTATTAAACTAGTTGTTGTTTCATTTTTTGACTGATCCAACATAATAATAATGATAACTTTATTGATGATAATAATATCCCCCCCTTTAACCCTGGAATATTTGGGGGGGTAAGGCAAGAAAATTCTGAGAAATATTTCACCTGACCACAGGAAATATACCCCCCCCCACGTGTTTTTTGGGCTTCCAAAAGAGGTGGGGGTGGGGTCCTCCGGATGCCACATTTTAGCCCAGAGATGGTATGGCACACCCTTTCATTTTGAACATACATACATATACATACATACACATACATATACATACATACACATACATACATATATATATATGTACATACATGTACTGAAATACACATATGTATATTGTGAAAAGCATGTAGAGCAGAGTGCATCGACAATTCATGCATCAATTCATGATCGCCCGCTCCGCCTGGCTCAAGACCCGCACAGCTCTCTCACATGGAAAAGGGCGCGTCGCCGCTGCAGCTGTCAAGAGCATTGACCTAGAGACGACCAACATCAAAGGCATTTACACATTGGGAGAAGACACAACAGCCCATTCACAGGTTATCAGCCGTACGCTCTAACTGGGCGTACGGTGGCCCCACTTATACATTGTCCTCTTCGGCATCCCGGTCCTCCTGCCCTTCTACAAGTCATAGACCTGCACTAAACGGAGGTGGACTGATCACAAGAAGATGTCGCAGAAGAACCAATCGAGCAGCAACGACACGAACTTTACCTTCGGAGCAAATGCAGCTCCGGCTCCGGCGATCAATGACACGCCTGGATCCCAAGAGAGCGGCGGCGGCGGAGCATCTACAAATAGCTTCACGGTGGTCACACAAGCTGATTCCCTACGGGGAAGTGCCAATAGATCGACGTCGGCAAGGTCCCCCCGAGCTCCACGATCTCGTGCTGCGGGAAGCGGCGACAATGGTGGCCGGAGCCCGTCGGGCACGGCCACGCGGGAGGATGAGGTGGGCAAATCTGCCGCCTCATCCACACGCAAGTCGTCGACCAGCGCAACGAGGAATGAGAGCGAGGCACGACTACGACGTCAGCTACAACACAACGTCGAGAAGTTGGAGAGAAGCGAACAAGCAAGGCCTGAACTAGAGAATAGACTGGCCTTATATCAAGATGTTCTTTCACATCGTGACCAAATGATCAACAACGTAGAGGTCTATTCACATCAACATCATGAAGAATATCAAGAACATGTCAACTCAGAGATGGAATTCATGAGAAGATCCCTCATTGACGCATACAACCTGTTGGACGAACAATCCAATGCTCTTGCTAAGGCGCACCTCATGGACGAAGGTTCGACACAGAGAATCTACGAGCTTGGACAACGTGGTCAACTTGCTGAAGCAGGTGCGGCCCACATCGTCCAGGAAAGCATGGCTATGAGGAGAAGATACCACTCTGAATTGGAGAACGCGTCACAACTCATTCGTGAACAACAAGAAATATCTGAAGCTATGGCGAATCACTACCGCCAAGATGGACTACAATTGCGCGAAGCATGTGCACAGTATGTCAATGAGAAGGAAATGGCAAACAAGGAGGAGATGGAAATCTTGAAGCGGAAAATGGTGGAGAGTTCGCAGATGATGGTTGTCAACAATGAGATGGTCATGGAACACGGTCAACAAGCTGTCGCACTACGAGATGGACAATTGGCGGAGATGCAATCAACTATCAATGAGTTGACGGCAAGCTTGAGAAGAAGAGATGACATCATTGCCGCCAAGGACAGTGCAACACGTGATCACTTCACAAAAGTCCGAGACTTGGCGAATATGGCTCAGAAGAAGGAGGATGAGTACTTGATGAAGCGCAATGAACTACAAGTGGAGATCAGAAGCCTCATGAGACTGAACGAGAACGAGATGGCTTCGAAGGAATGGCATGAAGAGAGGTTCATTGAAGAGAAGAATGAGTACAGAAGATTCAGATACACTGAACTCCAAGCTTCAAGGATAGAGAACTCTCTGTTGAGGCTGTTAAGGATGAGCTCATGGACGAGAACATGAAGTTGATCGAGTCCAACAATCAACTGAGAACGCGAGTCGCTGAACTTCTTGGATCTCGGCTCGGCCTCAGTAATGACGAAACCAGTGCCAAGGTGATTGAGGAGCTGCATGAGGAACTTCGCAAAGCAAACCTGGAAATTGGTCGACTTCAAGAAGGAATAGAATGCAACACTTCAAATTGGTGACTGAGGCACTCGTCAACGCAGAGGAAGCTGAAGCAGACAGGTAGAAGAAGCTGTACAAGACGGCCTGCGCTGAACGCGAGGCAACAATCAGGAAGAATGACTCCTTGAAGTTATCGCTCCATGATGCGAAGTTGGCAATGCAGTCAATGCCTGCCTCGTGGAATGCACCGGCTTCTACTGCTACCGTACCGGCATCACCATCAGCTTTGCCACCTAGAAGTATGGCCTCGAGAACAAAGACATCAGCAGCCAAAACACCTTCCTTTGCAGTATCGATTGCAACACCAAGAGAAACTCCCAAAGCTTCATCATCAACAAAGAGCAACATAGTTGCAGTACCAAACCCTCCTGATGTGAACAGCGCCATTGGCAACACGGTCACCAATGAGATGGATGACCTCCGTGAGAAGCTTCGCCAAGCTGAAGAGCGAGCACAACAAAACTATGACGAGATGAAAGAGTACCAAAGTTGGTTAGAACAGGTGGAAGAAGGACAAGAAACAGTGAAGGAAAGTAATGCTCCTGAATATGATCCTGTTCCTGACAATCCACCTGGACTTTGGGACAGAAAAGACAGCAAAGATGCTAGTGTTGCTGACAGCAACCTTGACCAAGATGGTAAAGAGTGGGTTACTCGAATCTCGAGGAAGGAGCACGAGAAGGTCATCGTCAAGCCATGGCCTAAATGTCAAGATCTTGGTGTATGGCGTTCAAACGTTGTACAAGCTGTATGTGTTGCATCGGGAGATCCTGACACGGCTGCATGGAGAAGATGGCTGACTCCTGCTCAACTTCCTAATCCTGACTATGCTGAACTCGCTGACTCAGGTGAATTCCGCTTCCAGTCGATTGACTCCAAGCTGTCCATTGCCTTGCAGAATATGGTGGATGCTGCTGGTGAAACGGCATTCGAGGTCAAGGTGCGGATTAGACAGAGAAGTCAAGTACTTGGTAAAGAAGGGAACTTCCTAATCGGCAGAGAGATCTTAGCAATGGTACTTGATCATTTCAGAACGACATCTAAAGATGAAGTGTTGTTCAATGCCAGCCACATCTACAAGCTACAGTATCGTGGTGATAAAGAGATGGACAAGTTCCTCAATGCATGGATCGAAATCATCGCCAATATGAAGGTTGAGGACATTCCATCTGACAACACATTACGTGATCATCTCCTGAGGAAGATTGAAAACTCCCAAGCGCTGCATGTCGACCTCACGATCTTCAAAGGCAGGGACAATGATGACAAAAGGAAGTCCTATGAAGAGTTACTGGGGATCATGAAGAGGCACATTGCACGTGCGCGTGAGGATAGGAACATTGCAGCCAGGGACAAGTTTGCCACTGACTACACCAATCTTGGTAAGCCGACGACCCCTGCACCAAATCCTGCGGCTCCAACTCCTGCGCCAAAGGATGGCAAGACCGGAAAGCCGAGTGCACCAGCACCCAAAGGTAAGCCTGGGGCCCCAGTTCTTCCTTCCGACAATCCTAAGAGCCACGGCAAAGGGAAAGGCAAGGGTGGTCGAAGATCGAGATCACCTTCTACCAAAGATACCTCCAAGACCTTTTGTCACTTCCATTTCAACAAAGGGAATTGCAAACATGGTGACAAATGTCAATATAGCCATTCTCAATACCATTGGGATAGGAGGAAGGACAAAGGTGGCAAGGGCAAGAGTGGCAGATCGGCTACCCCAAGAAGGTCACAGACTCCTGGTGGAAAGAAGGACCGTAACTGCTACGGATGGTTGAAGGGTGACTGTCAGAAGGGAGACAAATGCACTTTCAAGCATGATCCAAGCATGAAAGGTAAGAGAGCTGCCCCTTCGACGAGGACATCCGATGCCAAGGCCACTCCTGCGCTGGTCCGAGAGTACGATGATGACTTCATCGTGAAAGCTGTGCCGAGCGAGAAGAAGAACAAGATGGATGTCAAGTTCAACCATCGTGTAGATGTACACGAGTATGTGAAGCCTGACTTTGTGGAATGTTCCAACAGAAAACCGAGAAGGAATCTGTCTCGAGCTCAGAAACGATCATTGCCGTGCAGAACTACAAGAGAGATCATGGATGACCAGCAGTATATGTTGCAATCTAAGCTGGGCATGACTAGAGCACGAGCAATTGGCATATTGATGGATGACCATGGTGAGTTTTCTGATGTCGATGCAGTACATGTTATCCTGGGTCCCAAGAATGACATCAAGCTCAAGATCAACGATATTGAACATCTGGAGAACAACTCAAGAGCTGAGATGTGTTACGAGGAAGTTATTCCCCATGTCCCAGGAAAGTATGGACGTCGCGACAACATCATGTGCATCACCATGCCGATCGAGCTCAAGGACAGACGGTTCATCATGGATTCTGGAAGTGGTCATGATCTCATCTCATCTACCAGGGTGGATCGGATGGACATTGACACCTACCAGAGTGATAAAGTTAATTTCCACACAGCAAATGGCATCACATCTACATCTACTATGGTGGACTTGGACTTTGACACGTTCAACGAGCCAGCTAAGGCCCACGTGTTAGAAGACACCCCATCAGTTCTATCATTGGGAAAACGATGCATGGAGCAGGGTTACACCTTTGTTTGGCCCACTGGGAGAGAGCCCTACATGATCAATTCCGAGGGTGACAAGATCAAGATGGAAGTTC